AACTGGGGGGGGGGGGGTTGAAGGAGAGGCACCAGCAGCTATGCTGCAAATTTGGTGCCTCTACCTCAAAAAAACAGGACTATAATAGTCCCCATAGGCTATGTATATTTTTGCACACCCCTATTATGCTTTTCAGCTTTTCAGTATGATTTGTAAGCTGCCTTAAGTCACAGGGAAAAGTGGCATATAAATATTTGAATAAATACGTAGTTTGGGCAGGTTTAAGCAACTTCCTGTTTGTTAGGTTAGACGGGGGTCTGACAGTGATTGTTCTACCTCTGTTATACTTGACCTGTAATCCTGGTTGTGATATTTCACCAAAAAAACCCCAAAGTATACGTCAAGAGCCCCCCACCCCCAGTGCTGGTATGTTTTCTAAGGGTCAGTGCAGGGCAACGGTCTGAGGCCAGGTCTATCCAATATAGTGGACTGGGGTGGCTAGACCTGTTCCCCGGAGGACAGGTCTACCAATCTTATGGCAGCATTCGACAAGGTCGATTACAACCTTTTGACCCACCACCTCACCAACATAGGAGTATGGGGGCTGGCCCTTCAGTGGCTTACTTCATTCCTCCATGGTCAGGGACAAAGGGTTGCAATGGGGAGAGTGTGTCCTCCAGATACCCCATAACATGCGGGGTCCTTCAGGGCACTTCTCTCCCTGATGTTGTTTAACATCTACATGCATCCCCTCGCCCAGCTAGCGTGGAGCTTCAGGCTGGGGTGTCATCAATATGCTGATGACACCCAGCTGTACCTGTTATTGGATGGCCACCCAGATACCACCCTAGAAAGTCTTGCCATGGGTTTGGAGTCCGTGGTTGGGTGGTTGAAGCAGAGTAAGTTGAAACTGAATCCGGCAAAGATGGAGGATATGTGGCTGGGGAGGGGAACTTCAGAGTTGGGATATAGGCTGCCCACTCTTGACGAGGCGCCACTGACACTGGTGCAGTCCGTCAAGAGTTTGGGAATGATTTTTGATTCCTTCTTGAATATGGAGGCCCAGATCACACACAATTGTCAGTCTGGTGTTTTTTCATATTTGCCATACTCGGCAGTTGGCCTCCTTCCTGTTGCTCCCCGACATAGCCACGATAACCCATGCAACCGTCATCTCCAGGCTAGACTAATGTAACTTGTTTTATGCTGGCCTGCCCTTGAAACTGACCCGGAACCTCCAACTGATCCAGAACATGGCAGCGTGAGTCCTGACGGGAACATCACAAATGGCAGTGTCCCCTCTAAGCTGAGTCAGTGTGAGCTAGCTCACAGTATGTTAGCCTCCAGCTTACAAATTTTTGTCTTAGCTCAGGAAAGGATGGCTCCAGAGCAAACTAATTTATGCAGTCACCAAATCACTCACTCACAACTTTAATGCCAGAGCAAAAGTAGCATTTTTGCTCTCAAGACTCCACAGCTTAGGGAGAGTATTGAGTCGGACGGCATATATATATATATATATCCAGTGCTGTGCCAGCTACAAGTTTTTTCAGAGCTGTTCTCTCACAAGCAGTTCTCAAAAGAGCTCTCTCAGTCCCTCCTACCTCACAGGGTGTCTGTTGTGGGGAAGGCGCATACTTCCTGAAATGTGGGAAAGTTGTCATTCTTATAATAAAAACAGAGTACATTGCTGGTACTGTGTTAACGTCACCGAAGTATCACAAAATGTTTGCAAGTTCCAGTTAGAAATACTGAAACTGTTCAGAGTGCAAGGCTAACTATGAACCTATATGTGGGACTTGCCCAGTGGCCAAAAGGAGGGGAAAATGGAATAGTGAAGGAGACAATTAAGATGAAATTGTTCAATCTCAGGAAAAATAAAAACCTGATTTACAATATTGTCCTTGAGTTCATGTAAGCAACTATAACAGTTATACATGGTTAAAATACTGCTCTTATTTGAAACTGGTAAACTATTTTCATTTCAAAAAAATCAAATTGAAAGTAAATATTTGTTTCAAAAGATGGACTGAGTGTTCATGAAGAGTGAATTGGCTTCATACTGTAAGAAATTTAGTGTTTCATATGCACTTAAATGTAGATAGGTTTACTTGGATGTAAGGACATTGAGACTGGTGGTCTTGCTTCCAAGTATAGTACGGAGTACGGTCATTATTTGGGCTGCATACCTATAATCCTAAAGCTACTTAATTGGAAACAAAACATGCAAAATATCTACAATGTATTAAAATAGGATTATAAAATAAATGCATACAGTCTTGGTAATATTTGGAAAAGTATGATTTTAATGTCTTTAATTCACTCAAGTTTCTAAGAATGACTGGGCCTATATCAAAGTTAGCTTAACTTTTTTTTTCCTTTTCAGATATTGTTTTGTTTTTGCCTTGGGATACCTCACTGTGTGCCAAATTTCTAGAGTCTATATCTTTGACTATGGACAGTACTCTGCTGATTTTTCTGGGTAAGAATAAGTAATATATTTCCTGTAACTCAAGCTATTTCTTTTGCTAAATATGGAGTTAAATAAACTACGTAGTAATTCATAGATATGTGCATAATTGAAAGATGTAATTAGTTCCTATAATTATGTATTCATGATAGCAGGGGAGCACCAGATAATTCTTTCATTAGGGAAACTTGTGTGGAATGTGCCCCCATCCCAGTCTCTACCTTAAATACCTCATGTCCCGTTCTTATAACCCTGCTTTTTAACTCTAAGAATCGGAGCAGAGATTGGTGTGGACATTGGTTTTGGTTTTGGATTTTGTTCCGGACCAATACAGTTATCACCTTTTTTGTGTAGAGCTTTCTGTATGACAAGCCTGTCTTCAGTCTTCCCCAACTACTGGAGACTTTGCATTAGATTCTGAAACAATTAAATTCTGTGGTATTGTTGTAAGCCCGTGACACAGCAGCTGTTTGAAGGGTGTCACAGTTTGATTTTTACAGCTCTGTCTCATGTCACAGGCTGCCTGAGACAACTGGTAATTGAATACTAGTAAAAGGTAGCTTTTCAGTTGGGGCATGAAATAAAGGTAGAATGTCATGACAGATGGCTAGTGGACATGGGTAATGCAATTGAGTTGATGTGCACATAAAAGATTTTTGACCGTATTATATCACCCAGATACTGTGTACATTTGTTATCTTGTTATTATTAAAGTTCTGTATCATAAACAAAATGTTGTTATCAGAACTAAAATAAAATCTGAGGAGAATCTGTGACAAAAATGAATGGGTCAAAGTTATTCCTGGTCTAAGTGTGGGTGGGTGGGTGGTGTGTAAAGAGAGAGAAAGGGCATTCTCTCTCCCCCTTTCCCCCCCCGGTGATGGTACTTGCCAGTCCTAACTCCCAAGTCCTGATCATGTCCCACTTAGCCAGATAAAGAGGGAATAGATGACTCAGGAACAATCTAGAGCAGGGGCGTCAAACTCATTTGTTATGAGAGCTGGATCTGACATAAATGAGACCTTTCAGGCTGGGCCATGTGTGTCATAAAATGTAATGCCAAGTAGCGAAGATATAAACTTTATAAAGGACACAAACACAAGATTTTTTAAAACTTGAAATAAAATGTGCTTAAAACATTAGCACTCCTGCAATATTTTATTTATTTAACAGTCTCTGATAACTGACACCTCTTGCTCTGCATTATTGCATCAAAATCTGGAGACAATGTCTGTGCTGTAACAGTCTTGAGTATGCTGTTCAAGTGTTGTTCTGTAAGTTGCAAACCTACTTTTGATTTCATAGAATCATAGAGTTGGAAGGGACCTCTAGGTTCATCTAGTCCAGCATTCATTACAGAAATCTCATGGTCAATGCTTTGTGCTTAAGACCCAGAGGAAAACATGAAATGGCTGGGCATTGATCAGGGAGTTGGGGTCTCCAGGTTTTTGCTGTTGGTGCCGCTTTAATTTTTGTGTTGCAGTTTTTTTGAAAGATTGCTTTTAATAGATTTAAGAATTTGTTATGGATTTAGTATGCTGTGAACTGCTTCAGGCATGAATGCAGATAGGCAGTATATAACTATTCTAATAATAATTGCTCATGTTTGTAGTCTAGAGGCTTGACACAAGAGTATACTTAATGAGAATTTTGTTTAAAAAACTGGATGAGAGAAACTTAAGTAGTTTAAGTTCAATGTGTATAAAGAGCAGTAAAATTGGGGACCTACTAGGGTAGAGATAGTGGCTGGCTGTGTAGTAATTGATGGTCTCAATTAACGTTGAGTTCTGGGAAGGCGAACAGCTTATGTGGATTGAACTGGGGATCTGACAATATGCATTCAAACATCTTAAGAAGTTTTAAATTTGGAGCATCTTCAGCCAGTCATCTTTGAAATAAATACCAATACCAAAGGCTTATTAAAATAAATATGTGCTCTAAAAAGTGTGTGTTATTTTTCTACTTTGAATTGTGTAATCAGGGAATGGTGTTCTCCTGGGTGCTGATGAATCTTGGTTATATTGCCTTCTCTGCTATTATCATTACCCTTGTGTCTAAAAGGCAGCAAACAATGTTTTCGGTACTGTGCAAGAAAACCAATCTACTCCCTACAGGCTGGCTGTGCAAAGATGCTAATCACTTTTATTACTTTAAAATAAGTTCAATTTCTCAAAGCTAGCAATATACTTACATGCATGGAGCAAGTAAGTGGCTGAATGGTGAATGGGTGGAAATATACAGTTATTTCAATGGAACCTGTTTACCAAGGACAGTCATTTTCTTTTTTTTCTTTTTTTGGCCCCCCAAAGGGGATTTTTTTTAATTGCATTTTATATAAGGACTACAAACTACAATGAAAATAGGGGAGGGGAACTACATTTAAGGAGAAAGAAAAGATAATCACTACTAACTAAAAACCCAAGAGAGGAGTTCATCAAATTAGCTTGTACACAATGCCATCCCTTAAAACGCTAACAATTTTATGAACTTAGTCAGATATGCTAATATAACTTTGAAATCTTAAATTTAGCTGTTGGAAAAAGACCCCTAAGCATCTCAGTATTAACAACAGTATTTTCAAAGGCACAATTCAGAGTCCTTCAGCCTTCATTTTTTCTTATCCTGTCTTTTCCACAGTTTATAAGGACTTTTAGGAGCTGCTGCCCCTTTCTCAGACAGAGAGTCCCCTCCAGAAGACCCCGAGTCCAGCTCGCCACTGGACTTACTGTCCTTTTCCTCTTTATCCTCTGGCTCACCCAGCTGGATTCTCAGAAAGTCCCGTGCTTTGGAAACAGAGTCAATCTTTTTTTTTTTGTCCTGAGGTTTGAATGTTACGCCCTCTGGATATAACCACTGGTAGCTAATTGCATTTGTTTGAAGAAAAAGAATTAAATCTTTATATTTCTTTCTCCTTTGTCTTATTTCAAATGGGATATCTTTCAGAATCCTGATGGTACTGTCCCCGACTTTCAAGGGTGTCCCCGCCGTCACTCTCAGGATACAATCCCTCATGTGCCTCTTCGAGAATCTCATTACTATTTCCCCAGGCAGATTATTCTTCTTTATGTATACGGAATAGGACCTGTAGGCCACATCTATTTCGGTCATGAGATAGTCCGCCTTCAAATCTGTCACTGGGGCCAATGCTTCGCTCATCATTTGCTTCAGATTCTCACCCTTAGTCTTTGGGACACCTTGGAAACGAAGGACCAGGTTTGCCTTCTCCATTTGTAATTGTAAAAGCTGTTCTTCTGTTGAAATTTGCTTCTTTTCCAATTTTTGTACCTTTTTCTTCACCTTTTGAGCAGTGGCGTCAACTTCTTTCACTTTCTCAGCTGTTTGTTCCATAATTTTAAGAGTCTCGTTCAATTGTGTCTGCTGAGTAGTGATACATTGGTTCATTGTTGACAGCTGTTCATTGAGGTTAGTCATCTGGTCCAGCAGGGGGCGCAGGGACTCTGCCAACATTTTGGCCAACTCTGTGGTTCCTTCCAGTCGTGGACTCTCAGCTACTTTCGCTTTTAAAAGTTTCTCCTTCTCCATCCTCTTCCCCGCCATCTTTATGAATTGTTTACTTTCGCAAAGATTAGCAAAGTCTCTGAATATGCGCTCAAACGCTCATGCACGCCTTGGTAAGTCTTTCCCAACAGGTTTTATCGCTTTTGTTTCCGTCCCCCCCCCCAGTCTCGCTTTTAAGTTTATGCGCATGGGAGGGGCCCATCCCCCACTCGCTTTACTTTCTAGTCCGTGGGGTAGGGAGCTTTCTTTTTGAATCGCAAATACGCCTTAATCCGAGTCACAGTTCATTCTCGGTCATACAACCTCATTTAGCCTCTGTTTTAACCACTCGACCTCCAGTGCTTGCCCTGGTCAGTGTCGCTTCTTCCATTCGGACACTCAGCAGGAGGACCATCGGAACAGAGAAGCGCCTCAATTCCCCAGCATTGTGCTGGCTAAGAGGCAACCTCTCAAAAGTCCCCTGGCTTAGGAGCATTTCAGCCAGGCTCCGTGAGAGGTAGCGATTCCTGGCCCCCCCTCGTATCTACTGGTGCACAGCTTTCACCCCCCGGGAGGTTCGGGAGGAGAGTCTGCTCGGCGCGCTACCATAGACCGGAAATCGACAGTCCTTATTTTCTGGTAACTTTCCATGGTAAACAGCTCTACCTTTGGGGGAAATTTGGGGAATGGTTTTTTTCTTAAAAAATTACTGCATGAGATGTTAGTTACTGTTCTTTTAGAATTACTTGCATTCTGCTGTCACAGATCAAAAGTTACATGACCTCCCAAAATACAGCAGTCCTTGACTCTCAGCCTTGCCTGTTCAAAATTTGCCCTGCCTCCTTAATCAAATATTGTACTTTAGTTAAAAAACAAATATAAAATGTAATATTTTAAAAATTGCTGGCTTAGTTTTGGTATTCAGACCATTAGTTTATTTTTTCAGAATGCCTCCTTATATATGTGTTGTTTACCTGGTCAAAATGGTACAATTGCTAGCAATGCCACAATTGAATTAAAAAATAGTAACAGAAAAGTGTTATCCTATTCAAACTTACTCCCCATAAGATAGCAGTCTTTTCAGAATGTGAAATCTAAATTTTCTGCTTTTGAAGCTTTTCTTTATTCTTTTTTTGCTGCAGCCCAATGATGATAATTACACAGAAGATTACAAGCTTGGCTTATGAAATTCATGATGGTAAGAGTTTTCTTCCCCCTAGCTGAATTGTCATTTTAATATGTTTTCTTCAAGCTTAAAAATTAAGGCATGTGGTCGTATTTATTTTTATGTCTTTCTGCAATTTTTGCGTGAACTTACTAACCTGTCTGAGTGGCATGTTACATAATAGCAAATTAAATTAAGAAAATAAATGCATAGTGTGAATGAGAATCTGAAATTTCTCAAAGGAATTTTTTACCAATCCTAAATGTGCAGTAGACCCTTCAAAATCAGTCTTTAGTTTCAGTGCACATGTTGAACAACCATTGGGAAATAGTGCTTGTAGAGCCAAAACTGAACCTTAAATGTACAGCAGTTAATTTCTTAACAAATGAAAGTTTGGATTCAAAGGTATTATTACACTGGTGGAACGGCACTTCTATTCCTGGGGGTGACTTCCCACCCTCCACCTTGCCCCCCCCACTGATCCCAAGAGCCCCTTGACTTCCTAGAAGCAGAACTAAGGGGGGGGGGGCGAATTCCATAGGCTGAAGTGGGGGAGGGGAGTCTCATTCAGATGCAAAGTACAGAAAACCCCAAGCAATTCAGAGTCTGAATTCTGCTTTGGTTTTTCACAGTTATTAATAAAGATAAAAATTTTAACCTGGCAGTTTGTGGCAATATATGGAATTTTTGTAGCTGTTCATCTGTCCATATAATAAACAACTGAAGTTGAAATGACTGACCTCTTTTGAGAAGTATATCTTGAGACTACAAAATGTCCCTGGTTCTTCATTCACCAAATAAATTGGGAGCTAATGGGTTCTGCTCCATTATTTCCCCCCCTCCACAGGAATGTTTCGAAAGGATGAAGAACTGACTGCATCTCAGCAGTGCTTGGCTGTGAGGTAAGCTTTTCTTTACTGCACTGTAAACTGCTCTCTGAACGCCATCAGGTATCAGACAGTCTGTAGCATAGCAGGAGGAGAGGAGGAGACAGAGGAACCCTTTCCATTGCCTTGCTTTCACCCACTTTGTGTTTTGCACTTTGTCTCATGCTGCATCCACAGGGTGGTGATGATTTTCTGTTCCTTCTGTTGCCAACTGCGGATGCAGAGATGTTCACATTGGCAACAGAGTGGCCACACAAATGTTCATCGTCCATCTTCATGTGCAGCCCCACGTTGGGACTGCGCTTGTGCAGGCTGGCCGCAGATACTCTTTCTCTAGCTTTAAGATTCTACAACTGGGCGTTCCACCCCTAATTTAAACTAGGCATGTGTGGGAATTCCTGCCGAAAGTATTGCATGCTCCAGAGTGGACTTGCCCCCATTCCCTCAGCTCCTTTTTCACTGCTGTGAGGTTGGTTCACCTCTAGCTTTGCTCCTTTTTTCCTCTGTCATGACGGTTGGTTCTGAGGCATTTTTTCTTCCCTCACCAACAATTTTTCTTCTTGCTTACAAAGATTGAAGGATCTTCTGATTATGGCATCTAAAGCCTTGTTTAAAAAGTACTCATGTTGTGAGCACAGAATGACTCAGACTGACCATCATGACTATTGTTTAAGTTGCCTCGATGAGGGGCACAACATGTTCAATTGTGAGATCTGTCAGCACTTTACCCTGAAGACGCGGGCAGATAGAGCCTCGAGTTTGAAGGCCACCCTCTGGGAAAGAGCACTCTTCTCGTCATTTCCTGACAAGCCCACTGGAGGTCAGAGCCGCCCAACCTTGGATTCAACTCTGGGTCTGGCACTGATAACTACCATGAAACTTCCATCAGTTAAATTGGTTCTGATGGTACCAACCTGGGTTCTGGTTGCACCACCCAAACGAGCTGCCTATGTCAGTTCCAGGCAGGAAAGGATGTGTGATCATTCTCCATCTCCAGGGCCATCTACAAAGGCCAGGGCTCTCTCTCGGAACTCCCCCAGCAAAGAGACACACACAAAAAAATAAGTCAAAGGACAAACACAGGTCCATGACTGTTGAGGATGCTACCTTTTCTAAGGATCTTACAGCACCCATGGTTCCAGTTTACCCTGTTCTGCGGACCCCGTATTTGCATTACACATCAGGTCTGGAGTCTCTATCCAGACATGAATCCTACCTTCCCATGAGGTCCTTGGAACCGATCATGCCCTCAGATACAGTGTACTACTACCTCTGCAGCAGCACTAGACATAGTACATGTCTCTGTGGTATCTCAGTTGCTGGAAGCAAAACCACTCAACCTTCGGGTTTGATGATGATGATGCCAGACTTTGACCGAGAGCATCGCTCAGACTATTGCTTCCATTCTTCATGTCTCTCAAGGTACCAGAGAGGCTGCTTCTGAGCTCTCTCCAGATGCTACAGTGGTCAACCCCAACCCTATCTCTCCCAGTAAAGATTTCAAGTTCTATAGTGAGCAAATGTTGGCATGGCGAGAGCCTTGGGAATTGATGTGGCCATTTTGGAATCAAGATCAAAGGATAAAATCTTGGGTCATCTGTATGGTGACTCTACTACCTCTATAGCATTCCCAATTCTTGAAGGACTTGATGAGTTGATGGTTCAGATATGGAAGAACCCAGAGTCAGCACAAACTACGCCTAGAAAATTGGAAAACCTTTATAAGATTAAGACTGACAAGGCTGAATATTTGTCATGCTATCCTTCACCTTCCTCAGTCATAATTGATGGAATGCAATCCAGGGGTGTAGCCAGAAAATTTTGGGTGGTGAGGCACTGGGAAATCTGAGGGGGAGGGCCAGGAAGAGAGAGAGAGAGATCCCGTTGGCAAGCAGGCAAAGAAGAGAAGGGTCTTTCCTTAACTGCCAGCTGCACTTGTTCGTCTAGGCTGCTATAGGAGAGCCTGACCACTGGTGTGATTAATATTCGGTGAGTATGCACTCTCTGCCCGACTGCTGTGAGGCCTGTCTGCCTCATCTGCCCACTTGCTCAGCCTGGGAGAGGGAGAGTCAGCAGTCCGGTGTATTTAATACTCGGGGAATATGTGCTCTGTGCTACAGTAGTGACTGGCCTCGCCCACCTGCTACTGTAGCAGAGAGCGCAAACTTGCCGAGTATTAATCGCACCGGCTGGCCAGCTCTTCTCCTGTAGTGGTCAAGGCAAACAAGTGCAGCTGGCAGGTAAGAGCATGGGTAGGGGCAGCAGAAGTTGTGCGGCATGTGAGGGGGCACCGCCCCTAAATGCCTCACTGTGGCTATGGCCTGGATGCAATCCCATCGCCGTCCTGGTCAACATATATTCCCAACTGATGGTGAAAGTAGGCATTTGAATTTTATTGGCAGGAAGTTTTATTCTTTGACAGCTTTGAATTTCCATATTGCTAATTATGAGACTATAATGGGGGTATCAATTATTTCTGTGACAAAAATTGGATAAAAATTTGGACATGCTCCTTGCTGAAACCAAATCTCTTGCTAAGGTCATCTAGGCTGAGGTGATTTGGTTCTCTAAGTAAATAAATGCTGGAAAACACACTGCAGAGGTCTCCTCCTGCTCCTTGGCCTCAGCTGTGGTCCTCTGATGCCATTCATGGTTATGAAATACCACCCTAGCATGAGATACGAGAACTTTGAGCACAAATCACTGTGCAAAATACTGATGAATTCTTTTCCACCATTAAAAAGAGCAAGCAGACAGCTCTGTCCCTCAGTGTGTATTCATCAGGGTCCCAACAACTACAGCAACTACAACAACAAGGCTTCGGTATCCATTCTATCGACCACAGAGACCACAACCGCAGCCGCCGTACCAGTATCCTCCCAGAGGCCAAGTTTCTACTTTTGCTAGTCAGTGCTTCACGTATGTGGCCTGCCCAGTAGCAGAAAGATCCGGGTCAGTAACATCAGCAGACCCCTAAATTTTGACTACCTGCCCCTAGACCAACTGGTGCACTGTGTTTTGCTGACTGTTTGTTCACAACTGGAGTTCCATATGTTCAGACACTTGGGTTTCATCTATTGTTTCTCAAGGTTACAAGTTAGGGTTTTGTTCTGTTCTCCCTTTATCCACTGGGAGCTTGTGACAACCAGTTTCCTGAGCTGATGATTCAGTTGTTGGAGATACTGGGAAAGGGTGCACTGGAGGAAGTCCCAGAAGGTCTGGAGGCCAGGGTTCTTTTTCTAGTTTTCTAGTTTTCATTGTTGATTAAAAAAGATGGTGACCACAGGCCAATTTTAGATTTGAGGTCATTAAATAAGCATTTGTAAAAAAATATATTGAATGGTCTCTATGCCGTCAATTTTGGAATTACTTTCTCAAGGCACATGGTTTCCTGTTTTAGATTTGAGAGATGGCTATTTCCACATATCCATTCACCATTCCTATAGGGAATACCTTCACTTTCAGCAAGGTTACTGCATTTTTCAGTATACGGCGTTGCCATTTGGGTTTGCCAATGCCCCCTGTGTCTTTATGAAATGCATAGCTGTTGTTGTGGCCTATATACAAACCAAAGGCTGTAAGATTTTTTATTACTTGGACAACTGGCTGGTCATCTCAGATAGCCAGGAGTCCTTATGTAGCCACATTAGTGTCATTACCTCTACCTGTAAGAATCTGGGATAAATGGTAAACTTGGAGAAGTCTCACTTGAAAACTTCTCAGAGGGCTCAGAGGTGCATCCCTAGATTCCCAGTTGGGTATGGCCTTTTTGCCCCGGACAGGACTAAGAGTATCAAGCCAATGATGGCATCTTTTCAGAGGAAACGATTCCAATCAGTCTGTTTCATTCAACATTTCCTGGGTTTGTTGGCCTCCACCACAGCTGTGGTTCCAGAAGCTCACCTTTGTATGCATAAACTACAGCTCTGGTTTCTCAGAAAGTATGACCTTATTAAACACATGGGGGTGCCTACGAGTTCCTGGCAGCCTCCCCAAACAGCTGTGCCTCCTCCCTTCCCTCTTTCTGTGAAGTACCTGCCTGTCTTGCTGGGGGAGGGGAAGCACATTTCAGCCTGCACTCGGCTTCCTGCCTGTGTGATTGTAACACCTCTGGGCTCCGCCCTGCTTCCAGAAGTCAGGGGACACATTGCAGGAGGTAGCCTGGGCTTTGCTTTTAAATGCCAAGCAGGAAGAAAGAGGGACTGCCGCAGGTAAGAGCTGAGCTGCTTTAGGAGGTGCAAGACGAAGTTCCTGTCTTTGCTCTCCTCTTGGATTGCCTGCAAAGATTGGGGGGGGGGGAGTAGGAAGGGGCAGTTGACAGACAAGATGATGTTGTAGCAGCTTATTTTTTACAAATTTTTGGTTCTTATCAGCAGGGCTCTAGTCGGGGGGGAGCTCTCAGGTACGGAGCTCCGGAAGAGAACCTCTAGGGGGCGGGGCGGTCACGTGGTGAAGCCCCGCCCCCTTCTTTACCCCGCCCTCTGCTTCGATCCTCATTCCGTTTGGGAATGAGGATGAAGCAGGAGGGTAAGTAGCCGGGCCTTCTGACACACTTCCGGTGATGTCAGGGGGTGTGGCCTTCTGTCACTTCCGGTGATGTCAGGGGGCGTGGCATATGCAAATAAGTTATGCTAATGAGTTATGCTAATGAGCTCCGGCAGCTCTTTTTCTACAACAAGACCCCTGCTTATCAGTGAGAGATGGTTTATTGAGTACTTGCTTCAGTTACAATGTTTTTGCATATAGATTCCTATTAACTGTTCAGGTTAATCATTCCCCCCCCCCTTTTCTGAAATCACAATATGTCTTCTTTCATCTGAGTAGTTATCTATAACCGTTTCCTTTCACAACAGATCAGGGACTGTCTCAGTGCCAATTCCATGTATAACTGGACAGGACTTATATTTCTTCCCTGAAATTCCTTTTGGCCTGATTGGGAGCTTCAACCCGCGACCCAGTCCCTTTTTACCAAAATTGCAAACCCCAGTTCTTGGTGTTTTTTGTGAAAATGTACTTCAGCTTTAGCTGACACTAGACTCTGAATTCTTAGATGGAATTCTCTCTCAGGTTATGTTTAACACAGCTAGGACCAGGAATCTCTCCCTTTATTCAAAAGGTGAACTTTTCTGACAGACTTTTTAGTCAGATTCTTCAGATAGCCACTCCTTTAGCTGAACTTGTACTTTACTGAACAACAACTGCTGCTGAACTCAAAACGAACGAACTCTCCCCTCAGCACACAGCTGATCTTATATTTCCCTCAGCTGACACTGGTCAGTCAGAGAAAAGGAGCTGCCTGTCACTCAAACTCAACATTCTAGATCAGAGTTAACTATTCATTTCCCTTCTCTGATTTTGCTGCATTAGGAAAACAGCATTTTAAATGTAGTCTGTCATACCTTCATTTAACGGTTAGATCCTTGAATTACATGTTTTCAGATGATGTTCTTAATGTACTGTTACACACTCAAAAGCCTTCCACCAGGTCTTCCTACTGTAGAAAATGGACTCGTTTTCAGGATTGAATTTTGAATAAAGGTGGATGTCCATTTACATGCTCACTACCACAGATATTTGACTATTTATTCTCATTGGCTCAAGCGGGTTTTTCAGTGTCATCTGTGAAAGTGCATTTAGTGGCAATTTTCATGATGACATTCATGATCAATCTTTTTTCTGCTAAACTTTCTCAGCATTTTTTGAAGGGCTTATCAAATATGTTCCCCCCAACACCATACATAGTTCCACAATGGTGCCTCTCCCTAGTTTTGGCCTCACTAATGAAAGCCCCATTTGAACCTCTGGCTTCGTGTTCATTGGCCTTCCTTTCCTGGAAGGTTGCATTTCTATTGGCTGCTACCTCTGTAAGGAGAGCGAGTGACCTCTCAGCTCTCAGGGTTGATTCCCCGTATCTCAAATTCTTTGAGGGCAAGATTATGTTACATCCATGTTTAAGTTTCTTTCTAAAGTTGTCAGCAAGTTTCACTTGACCCAGGACATTACCCTCCCTGGTTTTTCCCTGGATCTGAGCACTCCTTCGGAAAAAAGCCTTCACACCTTTATTATGTCGATAGAACATGGTCCTTCTGAAAAGCCAACAGAGTATTACTCTGCTACTGGGGCCCTAGGAAGGGGCAAGCAGTACCCTCCCAGACCATTTCCAGATCGTGTTACAGAATGACTGGTGTTCCTTGCCTGGTTGTGATTAGAGCACATTCCACAAGGACATGGAGTTCCTCTGCCACCTTTCTCAGGCATGTACCCCTCCTGGATGTCTGTAAAGCAGCGACATGGTCGTCACAGGACGCATTCATCCGCCATTACCCCCTAGACCTGCAAGAGAGAAGGGATGCAGAAGTGGGAAAGACTGTTCTTCATTCTTTGTTCCAGTTAGAGGCTCACCCCTCCTCCTCAGGTGAGAAGCTCGGATGTGTCCCAGTGTGGGGCTGCACACGAAGATGGACGATGAAAACAAGGTTGCACTTACCTGTGACTGTTGTTCATCGACGTCTTCTGTGCAGGCACATATTCCCGCCCTCCTACCCTGCTGTGTTCTCTCATTTAATCATCTTCTTCTTTTGCACTGTCTTGGTGGATGCCTATTCTTTTTTCCTTCAGAGCTCACAGTGGCTTGGTGGGAACTGAGGGAATGGGGGCGATCTGCTCTGATACTTTCGGTGGGAATTCCCACACATGCCTAGTTTAAATTATGGGTGGACCTCCCGGTTGTAGAATTTTAAAACTAGAGAATGAGTATCCATGGCCAGCCTACGCAAGCGTAGTTCCAGTGTGTCTCTGCACAGAAAACGTCAATGAACAACAGTTATAGATAAGTGCAACCCTGTTTTCACCCTGCATTTCCTTGCTTCAGCCCCTCCCCATGGTTGCCGTTTCCCCCAGTAACGCTGTGGGCCTTTGGGGGCTTTTTAAAAAGAAATCAGTAGTTGACATTTTGCTATATCATTAAATTACAGCAATATGTTAATTATCAAATTTAAGCTATAGCAGTATATCAATTGCATTTGGTGACTGACAAATCTCTACAGCAGGGTTCCTCGACATGGAACTCATGGGCACCATGGCACCCAGCAGGACTTTCCCTGGCCTTCACCAAACTTTTCAGAAGGTGGGTGGGGCCATTGTAAGGCAAGGTTTGTCACTGGCTGTCCACATTTAATGAAGGGTTCTTCATTAAATCTGGGGATTTCAGGGTGTCTAGCAAGGTAGAGCCCTCTAGGAGGGTTCCTTTTCCTCCAGCAAGCTCCTCAACAGGCCTCAGTTACAGGGGGAGGGGGATTTGACCACACTCTAGTCCCTTTTCCCTGCAGACTTCAGGACGCTCTCCATTTGTCTCTGGCCTGTGCCTGTGCTCTTCCTCCCTGGCCTGTCACTTTCCTGTCTTTTAAAGCTTCCCCAGAGTGAAGCCTCCCTGGACTCACCAATCCTTCCTACCTTGGGGCTGAGCTTGCTCAATTGGCACTCTCCCTGTCTACTGGGACATCAACCCCCTGGCCCTCCCTCCCTCCACCACCCTCCAATTCGACATTAGAGGGTACAACATTGGGTGGGGCCCTCCTCCTGCCATCCAGGCCTGGCTTCTGGATTGCCTCCTGACTACTCTGTTGGGGTCTCTCCTCCCTCACTCCTTTCCTTGGGGCTTTGGTTGGCTTCACTGATTCCCATGTTGCCACCGCCTTGGGAATATTTTCCTGCCGTCGTTCTGGGCTGGTGTGGAGCTAGAGTGTCCTAACGCCACAGGCCTACTCCCGGACAATTGTCCCAAGGCTGCACGTTCTTGCTTATTTATATAGGACAATTTCTCAGGAGCTTTGGTGTTTGAGACTTGCTTTTTGCATTTATCCTCTAAATAGTGATTCCCCTTAATCCAATTTTTAGTGCAGGGGTTCCCAACATGGTGCCTGCCAACACCTTTTCTGGTGCCCCAAGTGTTTTTTTGGAAGTTGCCATGGTCATGTGGGATGGAAGTGACATAAGCACATTGGTGACATCGGGGGGGGGGGGATGCTCTGATTTTTGGGCAAAAGTCTATGGTAGAATTAGCTTCAAACCATAGAGTTTTGCCCAAACACCAGAGTGTTCCCTGACATGCCTGTGTCACTTTCAGGTGATGTTGGCACATCATCCCCAACTTCCCTGACGTGCCTACATTTCCCAGAGGTGACGTAGGCATGTGTGTCTTCCCTCCCCTCTCCCAGAGCGTCCCGGTAAGTCCCCCCACCAGCTTGTCATTTGGACCAATCAAGCAGCCACTTCTTTCACAGTGTTACTTTGATGCCTTCTTACTTCTCTTTCACAGCATATTTTTAAATTACCCCATTTCTCCCCTTTCTCAGTGTGTGTGTGGTTCTGCCTTCGGTGGCAGCCATTTTGTAGTTGAGCCCACAGGCTCAAAGAGGTTGGGGATCTCTGTATTAGTGGCTTCTCAGCCCACATGCAAAGTTTTTGTAAGACATTATACTTCCTGAATCTCAGCTCTATGATCTCTCTTTCTATCTGTATAGATAAAAATGCAGATCTTATATCATCACTGTGCAGTATTAATACTAGTCTTATAGTAGGCCTCTTTAAAAGCATAAGTAAAAACTCACCAGTTGCTTGTCTTTGAATTACAGACGCATGCCAAGTCTACTGGAGTATTTAAGTTACAACTGTAATTTCATGGGTATCCTGGCAGGCCCATTATGCTCTTATAAAGACTATATTACTTTCATTGAAGGCAGATCATACCAACCGACACAGTCTGAAGCAAATGGGAAAGAAGAGATAAAATATGAACAAACAGATCCTTCTCCAAATGTAAGATCTATAACTTTTGCAGTGCTGCTAATTCTTATATTGTGATTGCATGGGAAGCTTGGTTTGTGTTACTTGTTCTACAGGTATACTTCTGAAATTGTACGTGGAACATGAATGGTGGCATCCATGAATTATGCAGTTGTGCTTTCAAAAAAGAAAGAAAGAAAGAAAGTAGTTCCTCTCTTTACAATTAGATATTCTCCATTGATGCTCACTCTTGTTTTGGCCTTGTGGGCCAATATTTAATAGCTTGGAAACAGTTTCATATAGTAAAATACCCACCTAATTTTGAAGGTTGCAGGATAAATGAGTTCCATTGGGCCAAGAGGATTAAGAACAAGAATAAAGGGAAATACTGCATGCCATTTATTGTCCAAGGGAATATTGCACTGTGGCTTTGTATCCAGTCAACCAGGAGTGAAATAATATCTGTGTAATAGCATCATTTCAGCCCTGCCCCACCCCCCTGCTACAGCCATTTACACACTCTTAAGTTAGAGTTACAGCTACTCTTAAGTTAGAGAAGCCTATGGAACAGCATGTATAATTTATCTCATATTTCTCTCAACTTTTTTCTTCCCTAATTTGCTCACTCACTGCTCAGGTAGCGCCCCCCCCCTCCACTGGCCAGGTTTCCTCTCCTTGTACATGCATGCACATAACTCTCACCTGTTGTTGTCATAGGACTCTTCCAGCTCAATAATGTTTCCTTTTGATGCATATCTCAAGGCTTCCTTAGCAGAGACCAATTCTAAAGAGCCTATATTTTTGAGACCATGAAAAATTACTTTCAGCCTAAACTCTTGCAATTGCAAAACCAGAAGCTGCCATGACTTCATCTGTTCACAAGGTTCAGTACCCAGTATTCCACCCCTTTGGGTATTAAACTGTTCCAAAGACTCCTCTTCAATCTTTTTATAAAACAGGAGTCAAACAACCCCAGTATTAAAAGAGAAACCCACCTTGAGGCAGGCAGATTGCTAACATGAAGATTCATGTACAGACTTTAAAAACATGGTTGAAATTACTGTATAAGGGATCTGTATGTTCATAACATTTACGATTTTGTAAAAAAATCTAAGAATGGCAGAAGAAACGCTTATAAAAATATGCAGGAATAAATCTGGTCAGAGTTCTTGGCTACATGTATTGCAGGTTCTTCCTTTGTTCAAGACCTAGTTCAAAGATAGCTTCTTCCAAACAAAGAAAGGTAGCTGTTGGCTACCTATTCCCCCCCTCCAATCTCTATTCTAACCCAGGAGGTAGGCAGTTCCTATGGAGCAGAATAAAATGCTCTTTAATCAATGAGGAATTACCTAAATAGCCAACAAGAAGTGGAACATGCAAACAAGGTGTTGACACGTGCTGAAAGGTTACTTTTAACCAAATCACCTGAGAAAAGTGTCCTCACTTCTGACAAAGACTGCTTGTCAGACATTTTACAGCTATGATTAGTCTGGCAGGAAAGGAAAAATTCTTCCAGCAAACCTTTAACAATCGTACAATTAATGTATCTCAGACTGCCAGCTTCTGCTGGGTCTGAGAGGACAATTTCCACATTTACCTGTTAGTTCAAGGCAGGTTGAAAGTAGAAAGAGGGTAGTTGAAAAGTTTTGGCTGTCTAGAATCTAGCTAAGGTGGAATTTGAATATCATGACTAAAATGGAAAAGACACCTATCCGAGCTTTCGCCTTAAACCCTTGTTGGAGTCTAGTGCACCTGTATGTGGGATATGCATTTCATTAATAGGGGAATTGATGGTAATTGTAGTGTGGTTTACATTATGCTTTACATAAGCAGAAAGGCACGTTGACTTTGCCTCTTTTCATCAATGTCCTTTCCTCCAATGGAAAAGCCACTTAAGTTGGAGGAACGCTCTTCAGTCTGGAGGAACGCTTCAAACTTTGCTCAGTAGTGTAAGAGGGTAGGCGTAGGATCCACCCCACTGCAGCATTCCCACACCTTATCCCCCTTTTTCTCCCCCAGGAGTGCAAAAGTGTAATATGATATCACATTGTGCATTTCTTTGTCCCCTCATGCCACAGCTGAAGATGTGTGGCAATGGCTATAAAGTTTGTGTGGCGTCACGTTGCATGTTTTGCTTGTCTCAGAATAATGGGTGAAAAGAGATGATGACACAGGGCTGTTTTTTTTTTGCCAGCATCCTAGCATACATACAGTCCTGGCCTACAGTGGAAGCATATCTTCTGTCAGGAAACCATGGCATAATGTTAACACTGATTTAGTTAACATAATGTTAACAGAACTATTACAGGATCAGTGTACCTCTTGGAAAATTTCAACCAGTAAAAGCAAACTTTTGAAATAATATTTTAGCACCATCAATACATCTACGCAGGCTTACGTACCATATTTGATAAAAAGGTGGTGTTTAAACTTGCTAGAAAGGGTCTGAAAAGCACAAGGCCAATGTGAGGATCTATAGAGAAACCCACCTTCAAAATATCAAGTAATAACTTGTCACAGGTAGGTTTCCTTTATTTGTATTGCTCCACATGCTCAACATTTTATGTTGTAAAGGCTGCATTAGCTTTCTGGTGTTACTGTTAAGAGGATGTATGTATGCTCTTGATACTCTACACTTCCCAACTGGTGTCAAGAAAACTTTAGCTGCATTTTTACAACACCAGTAAGTTTTGCGTGCTTTTTGGGAAATAGCCCCTCTTACGTTTGCTATATGAATTTGCACCTCAGTTTATTTTCTTACATAAAGAGTCACACTTCAGAGTTTGTCATCTTGCTGAAATGCTTGTCAATTTTCTTTTGCTAGATTCTCAGAAATTTTCTTTTATAAAAGAATGCATTGTTAGATTAAGTTTAACTTTAATAAGTAATGAGGATCAGCAAACGTGAAGCTGTAGATGAAAGAACTATGTTCTGCCTAATCTAATAAGCTTCCTTTCTTGTTTGAGTTTCATTTCTGTAACATAAAATTAATGACAGCCCCTTCTTCTGTACTCTGTTAGGTGCATGATGGTGAGCTTAATGTAGCAGTTTTTACTGTGTTGATTGCATGTTAACTGAATCTAGTCAACATTTCTTAAGTGATTTATTTCATATCTCCGTCCTGTTATGCCTTTTTACAAGCTATCATTTGTTGGGGCTCAAAGTGGTGTCAACTGTCTGAAATAAATGTCTATCTTCGTAAGTTTCTTTTTCTTATAGCTATTAGCTACCCTTTAAATTCTTGTGTTCTTGTAGAACAGATCCCCTTTGCTTCTGGCTTCTTCTTAAGAATATTTTTAGATTCTGAACCCCTTGTTAATTGCCTGCAATGTACACCTAACTCAACATGCGGCAATCCCAAATGCCACAAGCACTCAAAAAACTTCACTGAGCTAATTACAATTCGTGAAGGTGCCAGGACTGCATCAAACTGAACTCTCTCCAACAGGTGTCTTAAAATAAAAGTTTTAATCACTTAGGGCCTGATCCACTGAGATCAGTCAGTGTTTTTCTATTGATTTTTGAACAGGAGGTGAATTCGGGCATCAAATAATTATTTCCTAAGCAAAACACTTGACAAGTTCAGTAGACTTTCAGTGTAATTTTATTCTTCTGCAGCTTACAATTTTGTGTACATAGCTTGTATAATATAACTGTCGAGAACGTGAGCTAAGAAGTTCTCAACCATGAAGTCAGTTGAGGCCTTTGGATGTATAGATGTATCTCAGCCTTAGATGCCAATTTGTTAATACAACCCAGCCTTTTCTCCCAACAGTGGCCCCCAGAGCTTGAGTACCACTTTTAAAAATAACTAGTACAATAAAGGGTTTTCATTTTCAGCATTAAAATAGACCAGAAAACGGGGGTTGTTTTTCTCCACCAGGTTTCTGATTTGGCCAAGGAAGGTTTTATGATACTAACCTCAGACCCTGAATATCTCCTCGCTAGTAATCGGAGTCCATCCACTGCTGCTGGTTCACTATAATCAGGGTCCGTGCCAATGTTCCCTCTAAGCTGAGTTAGTGTGAGCTAGCTCACATTTTTTTAGCCTCCGGCTCACAGATTTTGGTCTTAGCTTAGGAAGGATGGTTCCAAAGCAAACTGATTTATGCAGCAGCCAAATCACCTGCTCACAACTTTAATGCTGGTAGCTCACAAAGCAGAATTTTTGCTCCCAAACCTCCACAGCTTAGAGGGAACATTGGTCCATGCCATCCTCAGTTAAGATAACACATACTCTGGCATGCCCTGTGCTCTCTATGGCACTGCTGGAGGACTGGAGGGGGAGGGGGCAGTGCTGGCAGAAATCTTCACCTTGACCTTTGGATGGTCTTGCTGCAGCTTCTGCCTCTGTAATCTATTAGACATGCCAGTGTCATTATTTGAAGTTTACAGATTACTGTGTGCAAAGTACTTTGTGTATCTCTCCTCTTCATTATTTATTCCATGAGATGGATTAGGCTGAAATGATGCCAAGAGAACCCAGTGAGCTGACATGGGCTTTTAACTGGGTTGCTTATATATCTTAAACCCAACCACTATGTGCCCCGTACCATACAGACTCACTGATGTATTGAGAGAAAAATCCTAACAGCATAAGCAGACTGTGATGTCATGCCTTTTGCTGAACATTGCAGTTCTTGGTATAAACCTCCGGAGCTAGAAAGCCTTAAAGATGACAGTGGTAAAAAAAAAAAGACAACTATACAATTACATGACTAGAAAAACTATTTCAAATTCTTAGGAATCAGTTTTAGGTATTTAAAGCACGGGTTCTTGGAATAGAGACCTGCTCTTGGCTAAAATTGTAAGATGTAAAATATTTAGCAGTGTAAATTCAACTTCAGTTCTTTAAAATAATTATGAAATATTGATTTTAAGTATGTGAGTGTTTTGCTAATCAGTATTCTGTCAGTGTAGTATGTGGAGTCAGTGCTGCCGAGAGCCACCATGTGCCCCTGGAAAAAGATTCCATCTGCCCCCCACCCAATGACCCTAATCCAAACACATAACAAGACAGATAACTTGGCTGG